TTTGAAACATAGTATTAACGGTTTCTATCCAAAATTGACTGTAAGGGTATTTTTGAACTTTTTTTTAAAAGGGTGTTTTTGAGACTTTTTTCAAAGTTTAAGGGTATTATTAAAACTTTTGAAAGTTAGAGATATATTTGAGACAAAGTATAAAGTTCAAGAGTATTTTTATTAATTTAGCTCGAAGAGTCTAATTAACGGACACTCGTAAAGAAGAGTTAAATTTAACGAACCCCAAAAGCTCCTCCCCAAATCTCTCAGACCCTTTAAAAATCTAACAGTTCCTCCTAATAAGCCCAAATATCCCACAAAATGGCAAAAAATTCAGGCTACACATGAATTTTAAGGGCTATTAAGAATAAACAGAGCATCACAACATAAGCAGATGAGGCATTACAAACCTCTAAACCGACGCAGAACGGCAGCTCAGCTTGTTTGTTTTGTTCGTCGTTTGATGAACCTTTCTTTTCTAAGTAGACAGAGTAACCAACGCAAGCATACTTGAAATCTGTCAGACTTCTTCCCTCTTTTGAAGCTTCCTGCTCGGTTTCTCCCACTATGTAGTTTGGTACTGCTTACAAAAAGTGATATTTACTATGGGTATAACAAAAAAGAAGCCCTCTGACAAATTACACGAATAGACACTAACGTAAACAGCCTAAAACAACGACTCCACATGGAGTAAGCAAACTGGTAACCCGACGAAAGATGGTCAAGATCCTCCGATTGTTGATGACAAATGAAACACCATTATGGACACAATACTAAGGAAGAATGTGAAATCCCACGTCGGTTGGAGAGGGGGACAAAACATTCTTTATAAGGGTGTGGAAACCTCTCCCTAGTAGACACGTTTTAAAATCGTGAGACTGACGACGATACGTAATACGTAATGGACCAAAGAAGACAATATATACTAGCGGTGGGCTTGAGCTGTTACGAAGAATGTCATCGTTGGATGCAATCCGGGGTGCTCACTCTACCTAGTAAGACTTGTCAAGCAAAGAACTTCACTTTCTTAGGGACTTTCACCTCCAAAAGGCCCCGAGTAGGAGACGGGGAACATGGAATGAGGAAAAAGGGCCAAAGTCCTTAGGAGGATTAGGAACCCAAACCCAAATATTCCTATGCCCATTACCTTCGATGACTCGCCAACAAAACCCCAAAGAAGGCGAAGAGGATGAATCAAAAGTAGACAAAATATAGGCCATTGAGAAGTACTTCCGATCAGATAAATGATAAATGCAAGGGAATAACTCACAAAGAAGCTCAATTCCAACCCACAAATCCTCCGTAGAAAACGCATCTCCAATAACCTGAGCGATTTTGATCACCTAGCAAACTTTTGATTTATTCCGTCCAAGCCCTCATAGCATTCCTTATGTCCCATAGGTTTGATCTTGTAGAATCTGATCTTTTGCATAATACTAATCAACAGGGCCTCATTGGTAAGTTCTACCATATCTTGTATCAACATCATTGTAAGCTGACTTCGAGCTATCGGGAGAGGAGAAAACAGTAAGAACTAGCATTCGTATTGAGACTCGAACTCATAGGCATTTAACGGAGTTGTTGGAGATCAATCTCAGTAGTCAATACAACCGTACCTTTACAATTAAATAGATTCAAAGGCAATTCCTCCACCAAATTCTCTTCTACATATGGATAGATCTAGGATATTCGACCCATGCATTCTCAAATGATTAATGAATGATTGTATCCATTCAAACAACTGCTAAACCAATGACCCATCATATATACTAATATCTCTAGGACATGATGACAAAGGTTTAGACCAATAACCACAACGAGAGTAATAGAGTATGCAGCTAGCTGCACCACTCGGACGACTCCAAGTGATTTCTCGATGTTTGCATGGTTACAAATCACATTCTAAAGCATTGCTGCAGCAGACATCTGAACGTAGCTCGTATTTTCCTGACTAATCCTCTCCCCTTTTCAAAGACCTTTTCCAGTTCCCAACACTAACCCGAAAACCATTCCACGAGTACTCCTACTCCTACTTTATCTCATGCTTCTAAGTGAGCTAATGTAGTTTATTCAATACGTTCTTCGTTCAGCTAATAGTCTCGTCCCATTCTTTATAAGATCGGGCCAATGTTCTGCAAGGGAAGTTCAATTTTCACTTTGATCCTGAAAGATTCCTACTCCTAATGATAATGTTCCCAAATTTTCCTCGTCATAACTTGATTCATATTCACCTACTGGATTTTGAGATTCAGGAACAGGGCTTCATTAATCCACTTTCTCTCCTATTCTTACCTATCTACATCAAAAAGACACTCGGTTGTGGCATCTTGATCCAAAAAATATCAAGTTCTACTACTGGGAGCTTATCCACCAAGGCATAAACATCCATGATAGGGTTCAAAATGGCTTCCAAGGATGAAACAAGCAGAAAAAACCCAAAAACAATATCAAGCTCCTTGAATTTCAAGAACCAGCCATATCAGAACCCAAATTGAAATCGAATACAACAAAATCACGAATCTAAAAAGATTCTCAACCATTTACCGATACCCCCAATTTCATGGTAATCACTAATCCAATGGAATATGAACATGCACGAAGGAAAGCAATAAAGATGTACCTTGTTCGAGGGTTTTGGAGAGTCCAACGCAGGTGGGAGATTTAGATTTGGATTTCTGAAGTGAAGAGTAATAGAGGCAGCCCTTACAGGACTTGCCAATGGAATCCTTGGCGCCATTAGAAGGAAGGTTAGGAGATTGATTCTGAGGTCCATCTGATTCAGCCATCTCCAAGTTCTTGAACACTCTCGATAGCTATGCGCATCAAATTCAATCACAGCTGCAATGGGTTCGTCCAAAAACTCTCTCGCAAATACCAGGCTATGAAATTTGCAGGAATGGAAAGCACTGAACGAATAAATATTTTATTTTTTGAGCTGAAAAGTAAATAAATAATAATAAAGTATTTTCATTTTTAAATATTTTATTTAATAAATTTTAATTTTTAGATGGGTAGATTTTGTGCCAATAAACTATTATCTTAAAATTAATCGATTTAACGATTTAATTTTTATCTAATATTTTTTTTGTGCATTTTGAAAAATATTTAGTGGGTTAATAATATTTTTAAAGCTTAAATGTAAATTTAAAAGGTTGGAACGTTTTTTTAGTTCAATATTTTTACGATAATAATTGGTATCTTATCCAACGAGTTATACTTGAATATATAAAAATTTAGATATAAGGTTTAATAAGATTTTTTTTTTCTATTTTATTAATTAACGTAGAATATTATTGCAAAAATTGTACCGCTCTCACCAAAAACCTGGGTTCAAGTCTGGGCAACGAAAATTTTATTTTATTTTTCTTTTTTTTCTATTATATTAATTAGCGTATTTTTATTATTCTAAAAATGATAGATAAATTTCATTGTATCACTTTCTTGGGGTTCAAATCCTCACAACGAAAATTTTACTTTATTTTTCTTTTTTTTGTATTTTATTAATAATAATATAATTATTGTGGAAATAGTTCACAAATTCCGTTGTAGTCTAGTTGGTTAGGATACTCGGCTCTCACCCGAGAGACCCGGGTTCAAGTCCCGGCAACGGAAATTTTATTCCATATTCTCTTCTTTTCTTTTATATTTTATTAATAAGCTAATTGTAAGGATTTCACAAATTCCGTTGTAGTCTAGTTGGTCAGGATACTCGGCTCTCACCCGAGAGACCCGGGTTCAAATCCCGGCAACGGAAATATTTTTTCTTTTTCTTTTCTATTTAATTTTATTAATTAATTATTATATTTTTTATTGCAAAATCGCTATATAAAATCTGTTGTTTCTTGTAAGTCGGATACTCATCACCCACTTGTTAGGCCAGGGTTCGAATCCTAGGACCTTTCAAACTTTTTCTATTTTATTAATTTGAGTTTTATTATATTCATTATAAAAATTATTGAAAATCTGTTACAGTTTTGTGTACGAATTAGGAAGTTCTCATTTAAAATGGTTTTCTAAAATTTTAGTTTCTTTATTTATAAAATAAAAAAAAAGGAAATAAATGTATTTTATTTTTGTTTAAATATTTCTTTGGCTAAAAAAATTGTTTTATTTGTATATCTAGTCATTATTTTTATTTTTTAAACATATATTATATTATTTTCACATGAAATTTACTAAATTTTCTTTCCAACAAATAATGACCATTTCAAATCAAACTCAACCATGGTTTAATCGATGAATACAACTTAGTTAATTAATTCCCGTTTCTAAATTTAGGGTTGGAAGAAACGAGAAACAAGAAACAATGTCCACTTTGTATCGTCTTTGCGAGTTATTTAGGATTACACAAATACTATGCTCTTTAGACTTTATCTTCCAGGCTTTCCCATTACGCGTCTATTAGTGAGAAATTTTCACACCCCTGTAAAGAATGCTTCGTTCATCTCTCCAACTGACATGGGATCTCACAGTTATAGAACAAATTTCTTCTTCTAGTTTTGTAAAAAGAAATGCAACATGAAACACGAACGTTATCAAACGAGAGCTCAATTTTCTAGCATAACCGAGAAAAGAGGAGACCCCGAATTTCCTATACACAAACCATACTCCCTCCCATCCACACACTACTGTTAACCACACATAATGAATCAAACAAATAAAACCAAAAAGGTCCATTTGGAAATTCATCATCATAAAGGAAATTATCACCTCCAAGATGCTGACGTGGCAAGCTATCAACCGTTCTTTCTAATGATCACAAAATCATCAAGAGCCTCATATTTTGAGAAAGCCATGGATGTGATAACCCTTTCTCCAATTCAATTTTAAGAAATAATTAATAATAATAATAATAATAATAAATGACATAAAAAATATATATATATATAGGGACAGTGCCAAGTCAGCAAAGTTATCATCCACGTGGCAGAGAAATATTGGAAGATGGACAATGGCCGCAAATTGGCAATCCTTAATCAACTATAAATACAAAGAGAAGGCTTCCCATTTGTGGCCACGAGGCAGCAACAACCAGATCACAGAGCGTTGGTGAAAACACAAAAAAGATAAGATTTTTCACTTCATCAATGGCCTCTGCTTCTCTCCTCAAATCCTCCCCTGTTCTTGACAAGTGCGAGTGGGTTAAGGGCCAATCCCTCCGCCAGCCACCCCTCTCCGCCGTCCGCTTCCACCCCACCGCCGCTCCCTCCACCCTCATCGTCCGTGCCGGCTCCTACGCCGATGAGTTGGTCAAAACCGCCGTATTGTATCGTTCTATTTTACTCTGTTCATGTTTATACTCTGTTTTTCTTGCTGAACTTTGATGGGTTTCTTGCAGAAAACCATTGCGTCTCCGGGACGTGGGATTTTGGCCATGGATGAGTCCAATGCAACCTGTGGCAAGCGGCTGGCGTCGATCGGGTTGGAGAACACTGAGGCGAACCGTCAGGCTTACAGAACTCTTCTCGTGACACCGCCGGACCTCGGCAAGTACATCTCCGGCGCTATACTTTTCGAGGAGACTCTGTACCAATCCACCGTCGACGGCGAGAAGATTGTCGACGTTTTGGTTAAGCAAGGCATTGTTCCTGGAATCAAAGTCGATAAGGTGAGTTTAAATTTTGAATTTTTTGAAGTATTGAGAGATTGAATAATGGGTACTCTGTTTTTTGGGGGAAAAAACAGGGGAATTTTGAGAGATTAAATAATGGGTGCTCTGTTTTTTGGGGGGGAAAAACAGGGGTTGGTGCCACTTGCTGGTTCGAACAATGAATCATGGTGTCAAGGTCTCGATGGGCTTGATTCTCGTGCAGCTGCTTACTATCAGCAGGGTGCTCGTTTCGCCAAATGGTATCGAATTCTGTTCTTAATTTGTCTAATTTCAAAGGTTAAAAAGGCTTAACAATGGCGGTTTTGCAGGCGCACAGTCGTGAGTATTCCCAATGGCCCATCGGCGCTCGCTGTCAAGGAAGCTGCTTGGGGGCTTGCTCGCTACGCTGCTGTCTCCCAGGTATCAACCAATCAACCCTCCTCATTTTCATTAATGTTTTAAATAGAGTCCGGTCTTTATTAATGTTCACAATATTTAAATAGAGTTTGATCTTCATTAATGTTCACACGTTTAAATATGATACAAACTACCGACTAACTCTTATTGTACAAGAACAAGTTCCTACGGTACAAGCTACCAATTAAGTCCTACTGTACAAGCTACCAACTAACTCCTACCCCGTACAAGCTACCAATCAACTAACTACAAGCTCCTACTGTACAAACTATCAACTAGCTCTTCCTATTATATACAAGCTACCAATGAGCTTCTACTATACAAACTACCAACTAGCTCCTACCGTACAAACTACCAACTAACTCTTCTTACTGTATAAACTATCAACTAACTCACAAACTACCAACTAGCTCTTATTGTACACGCTACCAACTAACTCCTGCTGTACAAGCTACCAACTAACTCATAAACTACCAACGAGCTCTTAGTATAAGTTACCAACTAACACCTGTAGTACAAACTACCAACTAATTCCTTACCATACCAGCTAAAAATAGTATAAAATATACTAATAACAAAATCTCTCCAATAAAATATACTACCAACCACACTAATTAACTTATTATATTTCATAATACTCTGTTTTAGTTATGATAGAAGGTTAAAGAATGAGAAATATAACCGAGACTTTCTCATTTTTTTTAACATTTTGACAAAACTTCATTTGAATTCTGAGTTTTTGATTTGAGTATTGGATTTTGCAGGAAAATGGGTTGGTTCCAATCGTCGAACCGGAGATCTTGCTCGATGGCGAGCACGGAATCGACAGAACATTCGAAGTGGCACAGAAAGTTTGGGCAGAGGTGTTCTTCTACTTAGCAGAAAACAATGTTTTGTTTGAAGGAATTCTTCTGAAACCAAGCATGGTTACTCCTGGAGCTGAGTGCAAAGAGAAAGCCACCCCTCAGCAAGTGGCAGAGTACACTCTGTCTCTTCTCAAACGAAGAATCCCTCCAGCTGTTCCTGGAATCATGGCAAGTCATGAAAACAGAGCTCAAAATCATAACAAAAAACCAAACTTTTTAGTTTTTGATTCACTGAATCTGTTGTTTTGTGTTGTTTTTTTGTTATGGAACAGTTTTTATCAGGTGGGCAATCAGAGGTAGAAGCCACATTGAACCTGAACGCCATGAACCAAGCACCAAACCCATGGCATGTATCCTTCTCCTACGCTAGAGCCCTGCAAAACACTTGCTTGAAGACATGGGGTGGCCTGCCAGAGAATGTGAAGGCAGCACAGGATGCTCTGATTCACCGAGCCAAGGCGAACTCGCTCGCTCAGCTCGGGAAGTACAGCAGTGAGGGCGAGACTGCCGAGGCAAGTGAGGGAATGTTCATCAAGAACTACTCGTACTGATCGATGAAGAACATGATGAAGATGCTTTATAGCGATTTAAAAAGAACACAAAACTGTTTTTGTGTATTCTTAGCAGCTTAATGAACATTTTGTTGATGAATTTAGTTTAGTTTGGTGTTTTGAATCTATGTAAGATGCTTGAATTTGCATGAATCATGAGCTTATATATATTATAATCAGGCTATGTTTGAAAAATATTACAAATTCCTGACCATTTTAGATCAAGAACAACGAGCCAAGCCTTGTAGTTCATGAATTGTCATGGACCATAGGATCATGAGTCATGCACCAAGACAAGAACGTGAAGAACATATCTCTACAGCTTAGAGTGAGAGAGACCACAGCATGGCAGGGAACCACCACTTGCATCATGGTCCGGGAAATTTTGGCTCCTACTTGATTTGATCGATCGTTCAGATCAATAGAGATAGTGTTCTATACTTATATAATACTCAACCGTTATCTTCTCGAACAAAGTATAGCACGTTGCTAGTTCAGTACTACGAATCTTTACTATGATTACACCTTTGAAGCTCACAACCGTGAGATCCTACATCAGTTAGAGAGAGAAACGAAGGATTCCTTACCTCTGAAGTTCACAACGGTGATATCTCACATCAGTTGGAGAGAGGAACGAAGCATTCCTTATAAGGGTGTGGAAACCTCTCCCTAGCCGATGCGTTTTAAAACTTTGAGGAGAATTGAAAGGGAAAGTCCAAAGAGGACAATAGCGGCTAGCGGTGGGATTGGATAGTTACAACAACTTTTTTGTTCAACGCTGGAGTAACTATGACCACACTCTGGACTTCACAACTTTTTGGCTCGAGGACATGACTTTGATACCAGAAATAGGACCAATGAACCTTCACAATAACGAGCTCTACCACGGATCTTCACTATGACTACATATTTGAGGCTCACAACGTCTTTGTTTGACACCTGACTCACTATGACTACATCTGTGGGGCTCACAGTTTCTTTGTTCGAGGGAACGATTTTGTTACTAGAAATAAGGATAACAAACCTTCACAATAAGGAGTTCTACCACAAATCTTCACTATGAATGCACTTTTGAGGCGTACAACCTCTTTAGTTTACACGTGAGTCATTATGACTGTTCCTTAGGAGCTCACAACTTCTTTGTTCGAGGGCATGACGCTGATACCAACTTCTTTATTGCCCTTCAAGTTCTTTCTTGACTTCGTATCGGTCGGCTCATAGGCATTTTTGAGTCCGTCCAAGCAGATGAAATAAGGTGATGTAGACGTGTTTCGAAAACGAAAAGATGAGAGGAAGCAATATGTGGTGAGAGGAGAAATAAGTGAGAAACTTAAACAAAAACATGTGTAGCCACAAATTTTGGTGCTACTTGACAACAAATAAGTGTGAAGTTTAGACAAGAACATCTGCAGCCTCAAATTTTTCAGGAAGGGATGTTCTGTGTACTGTTCCACACATCTAGGTTCTGATAATAATATCAAAACAAAAATAAAAATATGATTCGAGAACTTGATCAATCTAGACTGTCTAGTTGGGTAGGGTTAGACTTTTTTTTTCGGACTTGGGTTAGGTTCAACTTTTAAGAAACTGAAAATTTTGATTTGGTTAGGTGGTTTACATTTTTCGGTCGGGTCAATCCGACCAACCTAAAAATAGGGTTACAACTTATAATAGACCAAGTTTACCGGGACTAGATATTGTCTAATTTAGTATGTTACAATTGGTACCAAAGCCAAACACTGGGTCGGTGTACCAACGAGGACGCGGGGTCCCTAAGGGAATGGATTGTGAGATCTCATATCAGTTGAAGAGAGGGAACAAAGTATTCCTTGTAAGGATGTGGAAACCTTTCCCTACAAACGTGTTTTAAAAACCGTGAGGCTGAGGACAATACGTAACGAGCCAAAATGGACAATATATGCTAGTGGTGGGCTTGGGCGGTTACAAATGGCATCAGAGCCGAAACTTCCTTATAATGGTGTGGAAACCTTTGTTAGTGACGGGTTTGGACTGTCACAACTCAACTCAACCCTACTATACTTACTATACTCTTAAGATCATTGTGAAGATTAAGAATATGTAACGTTTGTAATCGATCCTAATGACGAATTGTGACTTGTGAACGTTTAATATTTGAGTTTCATGAAATTTTAGTTATTAATGTGACATATATCGTAGATAAATAGAATTTTTTTAACGATTAAAAAAATAACCCGACAATCCATCCCGCTCCAACTTGTAAATAGAGGGTTGGGTCGTGAATTCTATTCAAGTTGAAAAGGTCGATTTTTCTAAAATAAACAATAAAAATAAAATAGGATTAAAATAGGAGTTTATTTCCATACTTTAAATTTATTTTTATTTTAGTTTATAATTTGAAAATGTCGAAAATTTAGTTTACTTCAATAAATTTTAAAAGTTTAATTTTTATTATAATAATATTTTCCGTACGAAACGGTGCGTTTTGATCGTCCAACCCATTAAACGGCGTCATCTCCCGTGTTAGTCCCTAAGAAACAACAACAAAGTGATTCCAAAGCCATTTCTAGAGAGAGAGAGGAGAGAGAGAGGAGAGAGAGATGAGCATTTCGTCGACGGCGGGATATTTGGCTCGGCGAGCCGCCCAGAGGGAGAGGGTTCGGATTCTTTACCGGCGAGCTCTCAAAGATACTCTCACCTGGGCCGTCCATCGTCATCTCTTTTACCGAGATGTATACAATTTTTTTGCTTCTATTTCCTCCTCTGTTTTGAGATTTCTTCGATCCTAAACTGATTTGGTCATTTTTTTCTAATCGAGCTTTGATTCAGGCTTCCGATCTTCGGGAGAGATTCGAGGCAAACAAGAACGTGGTGCGTTCGCTATTTGTTCCTTCAATTTTTGTTTTTTGTATCGATTTTTTTTTTGCTCTTTTCTGCATTGCGATCTATTTTGAGTTAGTTGACCTAGGGGAGCTGTGGTCTAATTTACTTGCGTTGAGTTTTCTTACGAGCATTTGGCGTTTAAATTGTTTTATGATACTTGATGAAACATTAAAATGTGGTGCTTTAGTCTCTTTATTCTCTGGGGTGAGCATTGTTGATTGATCCTTGAATTTCATCTGTTTACTGTATTTGGAAAACTGTGTATTTTACAAACGAAATGTTATGATTTGCTGGGAATTGATTAGGATGATCGTCCATATTCAAAGGATTTGTACTTGGAAGTTGTGTAGGCTGTCCTTTATTTATTTCAATAACATGTGGGAGTGAAGATTCAGGATATATGTCTTAAGCTATTTTCAAGGCAACTGAAGGATGCCCCTTATGTAAGGATTATATTGTCTCAATTTGTGTTTCAAATAAGTAAGCCTTCTCCTATACGATTTATATTCCTAAAAAATTGAACAATTGAATAGGTTTTCTTATGTATGCATAGTCTTCTGCTCCATGGATTTAAAGTAAGAGGACAAGTTTGAAAATTGATGTTGGACAGCACTGACAAACTTATCGGAATTAACTTCTAATTATATTTGTGACCTGCGAGCTTTGAGGGGTTTCAATAAACTCAGAGTAGGACTTAGAGATCCAATTATGTTTTTGGAATTTTGTTTAAATCTAGGATCTAGATTAAGGGAGTGTTCAAGCTCTGAATATGTTGCAAGGTCTACATGTATGGACTGACCAGATTTTAGCTAGCAAGCTATAAGTTCAGTTTCTTTTCTATTGATCTATTCTGTTATGGATCCTTCTTTGGGTTAATTTTCAGGAAGATCTTGACACAATAGACAAGCTGATAGCTGATGGGGAAGCTTCCTATAATAAGTGGCGACATCCTGATCCCTATATCGGTAAGCACAATCATAAATGGGTTAGATCATGTGTCAGTTAACAAAAGAAAGCAACTCTACGTGCTGCAAAATTGAATGCTGTTACTGATTACGTAATATGTTAATAATGAAATTGACTACCGTTAAATTTTTGGTATTCAACTTTAATCTGCCCCGAGTATGGTTTCTGTTTATTTTCAATACTACTAAAATTTTGTTTTTCTTTTCTTCCCTTTTGAATAATAGAAATAGCATTATGGAAACAATACGAACATAATATGTGAGTTTAGTGAAAAAAAAAAAACCTTTGATTTTTCTCATCCTAAGAATCAATTTAGTAGGTTGGAATTATAGTAACTAGCCACCACATCTTGGCTTTTCCTTTAGGGGTCGTTTCTTCAGTATCAAATAATCTATGATGCCTGCAACTTTGGATGCTTGATAGTGAAAGATTATGGTTTTTCAATATTTATTAAGATGATTGCAAATAATAAACCCTTGCGTTTGTTTTGCAATAACTAACCCATTAGATTGAAAAAAAAAAATTCAACTTTGTTCTGACCATGTCATTGTTATTAGTTTATTTTTATTTATCCAATGTATCAAATTTGTCAATTTACCTTTTTACTTTCTCTTTTAAATCAACTTATTTACATTAATTTAATATTTCAATTAATTTATATTAGTTTTAGATTCTCCTGTGAAATATTATTTTAACAGTTATGCTTGTGTACTTTTCATATGAATATAGTTTTCTAACATGATGTATTGTTGAATTCCTAGAATTAGTTACTGTAGAATTAGGATTATTATTTCAAAAGTCTAATGAAGGGAAGAGTATGGACTAGATGCCATACCATCATGGATGCCTAGGTATCTTAGATTCTCAGGATCTTATCATGGTCTTCAATGAGTTTAGAACACAAGTCGAAAATTCTGGAATATACTTGTAGATGATAATTAGTCAAGTTGCAAACATATTTATCTAATAAGGCTTCCTTCCCCCCTTCCAACCCACACATGGTTGCCTCCTGTTATTCAACTTTTTGTCACAATTTCATGTCTGTTATTTCAATCTTGCTTTGATGTACTGTATTTGTGCAGCTATTTATCCTTTAATATTTTTTCCTTTTCCTCTATACTGCAGTTCCTTGGGCTCCAGGGGGTTCTAAGTTTACGCGAAACCCAACTCCACCTTCTGGGGTAAGTTTCTTTTAAGAAGGTTCACTTATTCTTTTAATTTTTGTTTTTTTTCTAAATATTCATTCCTTCTCTTCATTTCTTCACGATGTATTTTATTATTTGCATATATCTAGTTTTTATGCATTACAGAATTATCTAGCATCGTTAACCACCTTATCATTAGGACTATT